GGTTCTTCAGTGGCAAAAAGTGTGTGCCCCACACCCTTGAAGCTGCCCAGCCTTGGGTATCCCTGCTGTGCACAAGTCCTGCTGCTTGGTGTTTTGGGAGAAATACTGGGACATGCGTTCCCCTTCCCTGGGTCATCCCAGAGGTTTTGTGAGAGTCAGGGCTGCTGTGAATTTGGAAGAGCACCGCCCCGCCCGGTTTGGCAGAGCGTGCACTGATACACTTTCTGATCTGTGACTTCTGTTCGTCACCTAAGGTGCGAACCGGAAAGTACTCTTAGACCTGCTGCAAACTGTAGGGACCGAACGCTGCCACCCACCCAACCTTGACTCCCCAAGCCTGACACCATCTGCCGCCTCCTTCCTGGAAGGCCAGCCTTCCTCGCGGAGCACCTTCAACAGCTTAGGTAAAGCTTTCCCTGGCCCTCCCTCTCTCTCCTCCCTTCTTGTCTTGCTTCTCAGTGCTGTCTTGGATCTCTTCTTCAGATGGGCCGTGCTCTGGGGACTGTCTCCTAGTTTCTGGTGACTCTGACCTCATTCAGCTGTTGCAGGATCCTGTGTCTTTTCTCTGCTTTTCCTGTGTGTACTCTAAACTCTTGTACTCTAAACTTTTGTTTTATAGACCTGACACAATGCAGCTCTTTAAGAAGGAAAGGGAAGACTTGATTCCCTCACCCCTCTGGAAGAGGTGTAGGACTTAGTTGCCTGCATGTACTTTATCCGCTGGGTCATGTACAGAAGGGGAGGTACTTGCTGGTCTGCCTTGAGGACCTCCCAGTGTCATGCTGAGTACAAGGAAATTAGAAGCGTCGCTCATTCAGATCCTGGAGGCCAGCAGCTGGGAGAGGGAAGGGATGAAGCCCAAGGATAAGGGACCCTGATCACGGGGTTTATGTTACACATAGGAAAGACCTACCTTTGGACATATGATGACATATCTGCTCTATACTGCCAAGACTGTGACTGAGCCTGTGGGTCTATTCTAGGTGCTGGGCTTTCATCCCCTGGGGAGCTCCAGAGCTCGGGCAGAGGCAGTGGGAGGAGTGACAGAGTAGGCAGCGGGTGAATTGGCTTGGAGGAAGGCTCTGACCCTCGTGAGAGGGGCCCGCAGGCAGATAACAGCTACTTGTGGTCCACTTTCCCTCTCAGGTTGGTGGTTTCCTTTCCAAAAGCCCTCCTGTGGGGCTAGAGGACAACCCCCCCACACACCCCCGCCAGGCCCTGGAGTGTGTCTGTGTCACCACAAGTCTCACTGGCTGGTGACACCAGGACTTTCTTCTCACCATGGCCTGGTGTTTCAGCCTTTCAGCAAGGCTCTTTTTCATCATGGACTCTGGCCCTTGAAGAAACTCCTCACTACATTCATTGTCATCCACAGCCACCTTCCATCCTGGGCGCTAGCAGGAGTATTTAACTTCTCTCCCCCTGTTCTTTCTTCTTTTGATTTTGCAGGCTGGCTTCTCACCTAGCCTGGATTGGTGCCCTGCACCCAGGGTGGCCTGGGTGTACATCAGCTGAGGGGTAATGACAAGCCACCCTGTCCCCATGGCTCTCCTGCCTAGGTTTTATCTTACAGCTTGCAGTAAACTCCGTAGTGGGCATGCTGCTAGGCTCTACCTTCTCTTTCGCCTACTGTGCTCATCATCTGCTTCTACAAATCCTTTGTCTTTGCCAGTGCGTCTCCAGCTGCCTGCTCTAAAGGATGGGGTTTCTCCAATTTGGTGTGGAATTTAATCTGGGGGGGTACCTGGTGGCTATGGGTAAGATGGCTTGTGTCTCCTGCAGGGAGGGAAGGGAGTTGGATGTTCTCTGTGTCATTATGGTGGAAATAATTTACCGTACTGTGGGAGGTTTGGGTACCCTGACCCAGCTTTCTCAGGGCAGAGAGAAAGTAGGAAGAACAATTGAAGGATTTCTACTTGATCAAGTATAATTTGGTTGACTACTGTCTGTGAGGCACACGTCAGAGGGTTCAGGTAGCAAAGTGGTCTCTAATCTTATTTTTTTTTTTCCTTTTGCATATTCATGGCCGTCTAGGTTACAAGGACCTTCTGTATGTTTCCGCAACGCTCGGACAGTTGTTGAAGGCACCAGATGTTGTGGACTCGCCTAGTGAGGGTAGAAGAAAGTAAGTGAGGAACAGCTTCTGTCCAGGCTCCCGTGCAACTTGAAGGTGAAATCCGTGTGTGTGAATTCTCCCCACCCATACCTGTTGGTGTGGCATCCTCAGAGCTGACGTTACTTAATGTCCGTTGATGTTGCAGTTTATGCCAGAACCTTGTGATAAATCTCAGTTCCCATAAATGACCACCGCCTGTTCCTGCCTGCAGCCCTGGAGCTGCAGTGGAGCCCGAGCTGAGCAGGTGAAACCCCTGCTCTGTCCCTCCCCTCTGCTGCTGGGCACCAAACACTGTTCTGGCTTTGTGATTTCCCCATCTCCACACACTGCCCTGATGCTCACCCAGCTCCTTTGCCAGGCTGTGTGCTGCTTTGGCAGTGCCTGCACCTTGCACGATGTGGACGGAGGGTTGGCACTGAAGTGCTGCTAGCAGGAACTTAGGACTGTCTGCTTTTTATTTATGATGCAGTACTGTGCAGTAAGGGACTTGAATGCGGTTTTGGCTTGTGAATGTGTCTCTGGTGTAGAGGTTAGAGATAGCTAAAAGAGCAAGTGATGTTGCCACAGGTCTGAGGAGGCTTATCTGGCCATGTCCAGTCTTATTTGCATCTGAGAAAGCACCGCTGGATTTATTTGTTTGCTGATTACACTGTCTGCAGTGGCGTTTTTGTTACTGACATAGTTTCCCATCCCGAGGACCATGTTCCCGTGTGGCGTGCTGTGATTTGTAAGCTGTCCCACAGCTCCCAGTCATCTCTCTCTGTCTCTCTCCAGTCACGACCGCCTCCTGTGCCTGGATGGAGGGGGCATCCGGGGCCTGGTGCTCATCCAACTCCTCTTGGCTATCGAAAAGGCTGCAGGCCGTCCCATTCGGGAGATTTTTGACTGGATCGCAGGGACCAGCACTGGGGGGATCTTGGCCTTGGCTATTGTACACGGTGAGGACAGTGCAAATAATGGGCCCCTTCTTGCTCCTGTGGGCCTGAGCGCTCCTCTTTGGGGAGTGGATGTGGGATGGGAGCTGCCTCTGAGTCCCAACTGAGATTTGTTCTCCCTGCCAGAGGAGGGAAGGGATGTTCATTAACGAAGGAAAGCCTGGACCTGGCTTTGGGCTCGCTTCTCACGTCAGCTAGCCTTGAGCAGCTTTCTTGGTTTTGAGCAGGGCGTGGTGGCAGAGTGCAAGGTTCTGTTCTTCCTGCTCTCTCAACGGGGGTTTTACAGCAAGGTCATTGACACTTTCTGGTAGTGGGAAACTACGCTCCAAGTTTGCCCTTCCTCTTTAATCCTTCCCAGTCATGCTCCTGAGGTCCAAGCAGATGACAGGCAGCTTGGGAAGGGGACGGGATTGGGAGTGACACCTCCCATCTCCTGCCAGTCCTGGAAGGTCCCAGCTCTGATGTGCTGTTTATTCTACCTGCCCTTCCACCCCCTGCTCCTACCGATGCTGTTGCCCATCTCAGGGAAATCCATGGACTACATGCGCTGCCTGTACTTCCGCATGAAGGACATGGTGTTCCGGGGGTCTCGGCCCTATGAGTCGGAGCCTCTGGATGAGTTCTTGAAGAAGGAATTTGGGGAAAACACCAAAATGACAGATGTCCAAAAACCCAAGTAAGTCCTGCCTGGGACTGCACTGGTTGATGCTCTCCTGAGTGTGCTCTAGGCCCCTCTCAGCAGAGATGCTCAGCCTCAAAGCAGATCTGGAGGAGCGTGTTGTGCAGATGAAGCCATAAGTGTGTTTGGTTTTTTTCAATCTTACTCTTACTCTGTCATGCCCTCTCTCCCAGGGTTATAGTGACAGGGACGTTGTGTGACCGGCAGCCAGCTGAGCTCCACCTTTTCCGGAATTACCCTGTACCAGAGACAAAAACCTCCACTGAATACAAGACAAGTGCATCTTTCAAACCACTCACCCAGCCAGAAGGTAAATGCTGGCACGCAGCAGTCCAGCTGGTTGGCGGGGGAAGGGGCCCTCCCTGAGACCAAAGATTTCCTGTTCTTCCTCCCATTGCTCTGAAAATCGGGGTGTCCCAGCAATGGCTCATCTCTTGTCTCGACTTGTAGCTTGGTCCTTGTGATGATTCCCTTTTCTCCTCTCTCCTCTTCCCTTGGCTTCTCTCGTACCAGGAACAGGGGCTGGCTAGTGAGGTTCATGAGCAAGGGGCGTGCTAGAGGAGTCCTGTGTACAGTCAGTGCCTTTCCCTGGGCTCTCAGGAGCAGATTAACATGGAAAAGCTGTGTAGCTGAAGCATGTAGCCCCCACCTGCTTGCTTCTTTCTTTGTCTAGCAAACATAACTGGTTCACCATCAAAATAGCAGCAATGAAGCTAGTAAAGAGTGAATTTGACCCAGGATACGTAGAAAGTGGTAAAAGCATCTTTTAAAGCCCCCTTTGCATCCAAGTAGAGGCCCTACTGTTGGGAGAAAAAGCCCCAATTATGTAGGGCAGGATCTTCTGGGATTGCAAGCCCTCCTGCTTTGTGTTGGTGAAGGCGGGGTGCTTCTTGCACACAGGAAAGTTGCTGCAAGAGGCCGTGTGCTTTCTCTCCCTGCAGATCAACTTGTATGGCGAGCTGCCCGCTGCAGCGGTGCGGCTCCCACTTATTTCCGGCCGATAGGTCGCTTTCTGGATGGCGGGCTGCTAGCCAACAACCCGACCCTTGACGCTATGGCAGAGATCCACGAGTACAACAAGACGCTGATCAAGAAGGTGAGGGAAATCCTGGCCCTGACTGGTAGCTGGGGCTTTATTGTCTCCACTGAACCTCCCTTGAAGGGGAAGAGGATTTGGGATTTCTAGTGGATAAACAAGTTAGCAGTGCAGCACCCTAGAAGGGAGTGTATGGAGTGGGATGTGCGTTGGGAATAGTGGCTGAGAGGTGAAATACTCCTTCCGACAAGTGTGTGAGACAAGGAGGCAGTCCCATCAGCCTGTCCTTGCTACGTTGAGCAAGGATGGTTCAGTTGATGGTTGTATGTGGCCCTTAACACAGCTCTGCAGGGCCTTTTCCTGCCCAAAAGTAAATGGAGAAGACAATGGTAGGGCACTCTCACAAGACTGAAGAGTGAATGCCTTCTGTGGTGTGGCAGGTTCCTCAGAAAGCTGACTAACTACTGGCGGCTACTGCTCCCTGTAGCTGAAAAGGAAGATGTGTTGCCAAAATGAAGGAGTTGGACTGTTCCACACTCATCTCGTCCGAGGACTCATCTTTGGGATGATCCCATGGCTTTGGGTGCAGCCAGGGATGTAAGGGACAGAAGTCAAGTGGATTATACCTGTCTCACTAGGCAGTACTAAAGGGGGAGGATGGGGGAGAGAAAAGGCTACCGAACCTTTTACCTTGGCTTTCAGAGCTTCCCCAAGACTGCTGCGAGAGACATGCTCCGCCTTAATTGTTGGTCCTTGCAAACAGATCTTTTGTTTGTCCCTAGGGTCAGAGGCAGAAAGTCAGAAAATTGGGGTTGGTGGTCTCCCTGGGGACAGGGAAGCCTCCACAGGTCCCAGTGAGCTCTGTGGATGTTTTCCGTCCCTCCAACCCTTGGGAACTGGCGAAGACCGTCTTTGGGGCCAGGGAGCTCGGCAAGATGGTGGTGGACTGTGTGAGTATTGGGAGAAGGGGATGGGGGAAGACCCCTGGGGCTGCTTGCAGGGAGGGAGCGAAGGTTTCCAGTCTTCAGCTTCTTCCTTTTGGAAGAAAATTGTATTTCCTTGGAACTGCTCCAGCCATGGCCAGTTCAAGGAATGGACGTAGTGGGAAACTTAAGAATTGCGGGCGCACAGCAGGTCTGAAGCCCTGTCTGCCTCTTTGGGGTTTTGAGTGCCAAGGGAGGTTCTTGCAGGTGAAAGGAGCTGAGGACAGGACGGTGGTCAGTGACCCTTAGGTCGCACCCTTTACAAGTGCGAGTTCATGAAACTCAGTATCTTTCCAGGGAGCATTGGTTATCATCTGAGCAACCTGGACCCCCCCAAAAAAAAAATCACACCTTGGAAAACAGCAATTCATTTTTCTTTAGAAAAGCTTTGTTATCCCCACTGGGGAAATTAATAAATGCTAGAGAAGTGGGAGTATCACTAATAAAAAGCAGTAGTTCAGAGCTGTGGTTAGGAGTGTGTAATAGGCATGCGTTCTTGCATGCTTCAGAAAGAAGCTCATTAAATGTTGTCCATGAAAACACTCCAAATGAATGAAAGCCAGGAAGATCAGAACTGAGCTTCTGACTATAATCTTAATTCTGTTGCTTTATCTCCTTTTAGCTTCCTAAAGCCAGAAAATACCCAGAGAGGTCCCTCTGCTTCCCCTGTCTTTTATTTCAGGGCTCCCAGGGAAGCTGTCTCAGGATATCCCAGAAAGCCTGTAGTAATCACAGGCTCTACTGGTACTGGGCTTGGACAGAAACAGATAGAGACGAAATCCCAAGGATGCTATGATTTGGATCATCCTGGGGATTTCTTTAAGGGAATCCACTCAGTGCTGTGATGGATGGAGGATCTGTAGGGTGCAATTCCTTGTGTCCCAAGGATCAGAAGCACTGTTCTTATATTAAAAAAAAAAAAAAAAAAAAACCAAAAACCTCACGAAAGAAAAACACACCCACCCAAATAAAAAGCTGCCCTACTCTTGGTGTTGAATGGTGCCATCCAGCATGCACTGGCTCCTGGTTTTCCCTCTCCCTCTGCGGCTTGTGCCGTTCGACTTGGTGCCAGGGGAGCCTCTCGCAGGCAGAAGGAGAGCAGTGTGACAGTCAGGCTCTTAACTCTGGGCCTGCTTCTCCTGCAGTGCACTGACGCAGATGGCCCAGCTGTGGATCGTGCCAGGGCCTGGTGTGAGATGACGGATATCCCATATTTCCGGTAGGAGCTTCCTTTCCTCTCTCAGCACAGACCTATTTTTATCCTTCTCACTTCAGACCTGGCTGTAGCATGCGTCATCCCAAATAGTGTCCCCTGCAGAGGCGTGCCTGTCCCCCTACCCCCTCTCCTCATGCCTCAGTGACATAACGGGCGATGCCATGGCCCACTGTGTGAGCTAATACACCGAGCGCGCCTTGTCTGGGGTCAGTTAGTGGGGGCTCGGGGGGTGCTGTCTAACAGGGTCCTTCGGGGATATGTACCCTGCCCTATTCCACCATGCAGAGCGTGTTTAAACTCGTGCCTTAGGTGATGCAGTTCCTGAACTGTGGCTCAGACTTGAGCGTGGTTGAGCCTTGAAGGAGGGGGAAGGCCTTGGCCCTGCAAACCTGCTAAAGGAGGGCAAGTGAACACCCAGGACAGCGGGAGCCGCTTTGCACAAGTCTTGTGCTTTGGCATGCTCGCTGCCTTGTCCGTACCCTGTTGGTGATGCCGTCTTGCTGTACGCAGGTTTAGCCCTCAGCTGCACACGGAGGTGATGCTGGATGAGGTGAACGACACTGTGTTGGTGAACGCTCTCTGGGACACCCAGCTTTACATCTACCAGCAGCGGGAGCAGTTTGAGCAGCTGGTGCAACATCTCTGCCGATGACTGACCTGGAGGTTCCCGTTTCTGCATCTCAATGGCAAGGCTCAGCAGACACTGAAACGGCACGGATTTGCCCTTAAACCAAGGTGTTGAGATGGGGGAGGGACTACTACTACTAATGAGTAATGAACGATATTTAATAGACAACAGTGCACATACGCATGTGTTCCAGGACACACCCATGTATTCCCAGACAGCTGTGAAATGCTGGCAGTTCTCTTTGTACTGTAGCCCCATCTCTGCTGCTGTGCTTGGTTTTGCTGCCCTGCTGTCCGACCGTAGAGCCCTTCCCAGGAGCCAGAGCCCCCACCTACCTGTCTTGAGCTGTAGCAGCTGGCATCTGTCTTCTGTCTGTGCAGCACGTCTGCTGACAAAGCACCATGCACCTTCCCACATCACAGAATGGGCCAAGGCCAGATAAAGCTTCAGGGATTACTTGGCCCACTGAGACCAAGGTGTTTCGGAGTGCATAGTAAGGGGAAAAGGGATTATTGTTCCCTCAACACGCTCGGTTTGAAGGGGAGCAGAAACACTGCAACTTCCCGCAGTAGATATGACACAGAATGTTGTGACTGGCCCCGTGAGAAGGGGGAACCTTTCCTGAGCCGGTGGTTTTCTGTAGCACCTTCCCCTTTCCCCTCCGAGATGGGCTGGCAACACAGGTACTGATGGCACCCAGGGTGGGAGCAGACCCCCTGCCCCGAGACTTTTGTGCCACCTGCTTTGCTGTGCTACTCTTTGCTCAAGGGCTGAGATGTGAAAGCCTGTCTTTGCTCGCAGCAAGCTCAAGATGAGGGACAATAGCCTTGGCTTGGTAGAGAGATCATTTCTCTTTATTCTTAACGTGGAATCGAAATGCTCTGAGATCAGTTCCCACCAAAGGAGCTGACCCTGTGACAATTTGGATTTTATTTTTTTTTTTTTTTTTACTACTGGAAATCCTGTTGTGACTGCTACATTACTCAATGTTTCTGCAGTAAATTTCCCATATTTATAAATAATTTATGTTTTGAGGAGAACCCTGAAAAACTGAATTCTTAATCGTTTGCTTTTGACTGAACGGACTGCTGTTGTGAACAGTGCTTCTGTGCAAAACTAACACGACCTGAAATAAAGAGAGGTTTGCATTTGGTTCCACTGTCGTGCAGTCCATGGTTGTCCTGTTTCTCTCTCTTTCCATCCTGCAAGGTCCCAGAGGGTTTCTGAGCTTGCAGCCTCTGAATTTCTTACAGGTAGAAAATCAGGAATTGGGCTCCTTGAGGCACAGGATTGTCCCCTTTGTGTGAGCTGAAGAGGTGGATGGCCTGTCCCTGCAGCCAGCCCTGGGAGCGCGTGTGTGGTTTGAGTGAGTGGCCGTCCCACGAAGCGCAGTGTTGCGTGCTGGGCTTATCAGCTGCAGCCCCTGGAGAGGCTTTGGACCAGCTGCCGTATGAGAATCCTCTTGGAGCTGGCTGGGCCTAAAAAGAGGAACACTGAAATCCCTTGGGCTACAAATGACTGAAGATGGGACTTGAATTTTGGTATCCCCAGGTGATTCCTGGACAAGGTAACTCCTGCGGGACCTGGTGCCCACAGATTCCCAAGGGACACCGCTGACAGGAGTGTGGGTGGTGAGTCATGAATAGGGCTAAAAACTGGTTATCTGCCTTCTGATCTTCCGTTTCACAAATGAGATTGTGGAATTAAGGGGCTTTTAATGTGGAGTAAAGGTTTCCTGTTCCTACATAACGGAGGAGCTTACTTGCCTGTGGAAAAACAAAACTCCACATCTTGAGATGGAGAGAACATGGGCTCCTTTCTGCTTTTCGCCCCTGGCTTGCACTCTCCTCCCCTCTATAAGCCTGCACCAGCTGCAAGGACTTCCCGGCGTGATGCTGGGTTCGGACTCCTTGCAGGCAGGCAGGGAGAGCAGGAGGGTTCAGGCACAAGCTTGTGCCTGCTGTTGGGGAGTCTTGCTGAGATGGGGAGTGGAAGGGAGGTTAAAAGTCAGAGGGCTGAGGCCTGGGGTTGGGGAATAGTGGGCAGGGAAGAGGTGAAACCTCATTTTGAGCTTTCCTTGTGTTTCCCCCTGCCTGCTGCTGTTTGCTGCCTGCGATCGCAAGCTGATGGGGTTCTCCTGACTCGTGAGGTGCCTACGTGAGAGAGACCTGAAGATGCTCCGCTAACAACAGTTAGGCCAAGGAAGCCACCTCCGAGCGGTGGCAGTGACGGAGGCAGCG